GTATAATTGTGAAATAAATGTGAGATGATGTGATGTTATGTTATGCCAGCGCTAGTGGGCAACCGATGGAAGATTTTATTATATTGGCACAAATGGGCGACCGCAGTGGAATTCTATCATGTCGACGCTAGTGGGCAAATAATGTGAGACTTTATTATGCCGGTGTCAGTGGACAACTAAGGTGAGATTCTATTATACCGGTGCTACTGGGCGACCAATGTGAGATTCTATTATGCCACGCCAGTGAATGACTGAGGCAAGATTCTATTATGTCGGTGCTAGTGGGTGACTGACATGTGATTCTTTTATGCAGATGCTAGTGGGTGACTGAGGTGAAATTTTGTTATGCTGGTGCCAATGGACATTCAAGGTGGGATTCTATTATGTCGAAGCTAGTGTGCTACTGAGATGAGATTTTGATAATGAAGACATATGAAATTTGGGCTTGAAAGCCATTATGATAATCACTATGAAATATTTGCTTATAATTTAATCAATTTTAGTAAAATTCCCAAAGTTATTTAAATGCTCTAAAATGCTTATACGAAGCTCGATTTTAGCTTATATTTCAGCTTTAATTTTTATACAATACATCAATTTATTATTACAATATAATATTTTTCAGTCTTTTGGTTTTAGTTACTTATTTCTATTTTAGGTTATGATTGCTTATTGAGCAGTATTAGTTCATTGTTATGTTTGCTTCCATTTTCAGCCCAAGAAGAGGGTAAGGAGAGAACTGAATAGTTTTGAACAGTATGTCCCAATTTGTGCTAAAGGTATGGCTTTTGGTTTGGTTTGTTAGTTTTTACAAGCATGGCTTTTATTTTTGTTATTTTTTCTATTGCCAATTGCTATTGTAGATAGATCTGAGATTATATATGTATTTTTGGATGATATAATTGAAAATCATTTTGAGATTTTGTAATCTTCCACTTCATATTATATTTAATGGTGGCTCAGTGTAGTATATATTTTAAAAGTTTTATTTTAATACTTCTCAAACTAGATTTTGGGATTTATGTCTTCTCAAATTGGATTTTGGGATTTATGACTTCTCTAGCAAGTAGCTAGGAAAAATGGATTAGGCAAATTATTTTTGATATTTTATTATTTAAAAACCACTAATATGATATGGCATCAAGACACTCGACTCCCTAGTATCATTGCTCTCTTAGAGAATCTTCTAGATTTTCCTAAAATTTTTTCATTTGAGACTTCACGCCGTGATGGAGTCACCTGGCACCACAACGCACGCTCATTTTACCCCTCCACTCGAGAGCTCCATGCCGCAACGCTTATAGAGAAATTTTGATACTTGGAATTTCACCTTTCTATTCCAATTCTTGACTTATCCAAAGCTCCCTTAAACACTCTAAAACTTATAATAAGTAATCAAATTAAAATTGACAATTATTAACGAAAATTACTTAGGTTTTAGCTCTATGGATATTATATGGGACATGGGGGTAATGTTTTTGTAAAAAGAAAAATTAACCTAGCACTACGACACTCCAAACAATTGAAACACTAGATCAACCCAAATCATTTAAAAATGAATCAAACCCTAGAGCTTAGAGCTACTACACCCCCCAACCTAGCAGAGAAATTATTAGGTACGGAGTGCGGACGGGAGAACCGTCTGCACACTAGTATAAAACAGTGTTCGGTACCGTTCGGTACCACTCGGTACCGCTGGGTACCGCTCGGTACTCTGTGTCTGTGCAGACGGTTCTCACCCCGTCTGCACTCCGTACCTAATAATTTTTCCAACCTAGCATCACAGTACTCCCAAAGAAAAAAATTTAGAGTTCATGATTCATTCACATAGACCCTCGGGACATACTTCAAAACAAAATTCAAGCATTCACACACTCATAGAACACTTACAAATACGTGTAGGATATAAAAGTGCGGAAATTCCATTACAGCAATTTTACTGGATCACGTCAGAATAGGTGTAACATTGTAACAACAGATATTACATCCTCTCTCTTCTTTTCCTCAACTCTTTTCCTTTCTCTTCTCTTCGTACTTCTTCTCTTGTCCTTGCCAAATGAGAAAGGTATGGGGATGAAAGAAGTGGTTTAGATATTTATATAAAATTATGAAAAGATCGCTATTCTCCAAATAATTCTCATTGTTTGAACACTTCTTCTAACCTCAGCCCTCTGTGCCATAACACTCTCAAGCACTACTCAGTAAATAGAGAAGGCGAATGGCCAATGCTACAATGCCTCCAAGGACTTCAATTCTTCTTTTATTATACGAGAAATTATTGTGTATGCAATCCGAACGTGTTCGGATGTGCGTACACACTGCTTATTTTGTTGCGTATTTTTTTATACATAATTTTTTCGTGGCAAAATAAGTAGCAAATAAATAATACTCACTAAATACACAAAAAATACGTAGAAAAAATTATGTATCAAAAAATACACAACAAAATAAGCAGTGTGTACGCACATCCGAACACGTTCGGATTGCGTATACAATAATTTCTCTTATTATACAGAGGTCTTAGCGCAATGATGCTCCATACATTTGTGCCACAGCACCCTCAATGGCAAATCCATCATTATCAAATTTTTGATCTAAATTAAATTTATAGGTCTCTTTTTAAATCTTCTAAATATCAAATAAGTTAATCATATTTATAATTTTTATCAGGTTTTATATGTATATTCTAATTACTGTACATGTGGGTGTTATAGTTAAAACCTTATTAAAAAAAATTATTTGGATAAGGATGAATTATGTTCTATTTAAATTTTAATTATATTTAATCGTTGTTCAAAATTTTTATATCATAAGCTCTCAGTCTTACTTAAATATTATTCAAATCAAATCTCAAGCACCGTCTCAAATATGTTCTCAATCTCAAGCGATATTCACTAAAAAGAGAAGGCAGCACAACATGACTTAGGGGGTGTCAATTTCGGGTCACGGGTCAAGTTTTGGTCGAATCTAGAACTGAATCGACACTATTCGGGTCAACCCGAACCCGACCCTTTTTTACAAATGGGTTGATTTTTCGGATCGAACCCATCCCGCTTCGGATTTGGGTCAACCCGGTTCGACCTGTAGACACAACAGAGCCGGGTTGGCAGCAGCGGTGTGCAGACAACAGCGGAAGCCAGCGGAAACGGATCGATAATCGACTATAAGAGGAGGGGACGGTTGGCAGGTAGGTCAGCGGTTAGCGCGACAGGCAGGTCTGGGACGTGACACTGGCCTCGGGACGCCACACGAGGCTTCAGGACTTGAGCGGGAAGGCTAGGTAGCTCCTGTCAGGCGCGGTTAGCACGGACATGTCCGGTCGATGCGGGTCATTCCGGATCAATCTCAGGTTTCTGGGTCAACCCAAACCCGATTCAATTTTTAAAACGGTTCGAAAATCATAACCCGAATCCGACCCGGTTCTGGCTCAGGTCAACGTGAACCCGAAATTTTCGTGTCGAATTTTCGGGTTGTGATAAATATTGACACCCATAACAACACCCCTTAGGACTTCAATTCTTTTTTTTTTTTTTATACAAAGAGCTTAGCGTCACATCGCTCCTCAAATTAGCGCTTCAAAGCCCTCAAAGGCAAATATGTTACTATCAAATATTCATTCTAAATTAAATTTTTGAGTCTCTTTTTAAATCTTCTTAAACATCAAATAAGCCATTTATATTTTAAAAAAAAGCCATTCATATTTATATTTCTTATCAGATCCTTTTCCTATCCAGGCTAACATTTATTAGAATTACAGTACATGTGGGTGTTACATTTAAAACCTTATTGAATTTTTTTTTGAATAAAAATTTTTTTTTGAATAAAAATGGTTTATGTTTAATTTAAATTTGAATAATATTTGATATTTGATTTAAATTTTTATTCCATACATTCTCAATCTTACTCAAATATTATTCTAATAAAAATTTATTATAGTGGACTTAAAAAAAGAGTTTGTAGTCCATAGTGGAGATATTTTAGCTCGAACATAAATAAATAATTAAAGAAATTAGTAAAAACATATCAATAATTTTTTTTTATTTGAGCCCTCATATAATATTATATATTTTCCGCAAGTATATTCACAAAACGCATTAGATTATCTATAATTAAATAAAAGAAAATAAAAATAATTATTTTTATTTCAGAATAAATTATTTTAAGTTCTTGTACTAGATCATAAATTATGTATATTATCACTACAGTTTTGAATATATTTATTAAAATAATGCATCAGATTTAAAGTTTGGATATAAATCTTAGCCCTGATCAATGATAAACTTTTTGCCAAACCTTTATTTATTGTAAACTCTGAATAACTTTTAAAAAAGTTAAATATGTTTGATCCTTTATTTTATTTTTTAGAATAATTATTTATGTAATACTTATATTATTTATATTTATAAAATGAATTTCTAATTAGCTTAATTTTCAATAATATTGATACTTCATCGAAAATCATCTTGATCAAACACGAATCTTGATTCATATTTAAATTAAAAAGACATCATTTATAATTGATGATAAGCAATGTTTAAATTATTTCAGCTGAATAAGGCCTCATAACTTCTTTTTTTCTTGAATTTTTTCTGTAAAAATTCAAGTTTTATTTGAGACAGCTTTCTTACTACTTCTTTAAGCAATTTTTTAGTACATAAATTTTAATTTTTGTGCTAAAAAATTGATTTAAAAAGTAATAAAAAAGCCTTCAGAAACAAATCCTCTTAAAAATATTGCACTCTTGTCTTATCTATGTGTGCTGGGTCTTCATGTAAAATTTTGACGTTAAACTTTATATATCCCTAATGCCATGAGTATTTTAAATTTCAATATCATATAAATTCCAATGCTTATAATAAAGTTTTATCATATTTTTTTAGTTTTGATCAAAATTTTAATTATGTGATCATTTGATGATTTATAAATAATTATAAATTTGATGATATGTTATCTTAGTTATCTTATTTTATTTATTTATTTATTGTGATAGAAAAGTTTTGAGTGCCAAACAAACCCCTGCGGCTTATCAGAGAACTACACAGAAGAGACAGCCAAAGAGCAAGAACGAGAGAGAGGGGGGCGGGGCTTACCATTACTCGGCCACGGGAAGAAGAAGAGGTCCTCCGCTTGTTCCCGCATTCGAGTAAGGAGAACAATGTTCAAATGGCCCAGCATAGGCAATCGGGCACCGATCGATTTTCTGCTCGGAGCCAGATCGACGTTGCTATTGCTGGAGACCAGATCGGCCTCCGGATGCCACAAAAGATTGGCCGGATTCGCCGTGCCAAGCCTCAGCGCCACTTTTCCTACGCCGCAGTGGTCATCGGAGTGACTCTCCTCGTTGGCTTCTACCTCTCCATCCTCGCCTTCCACCGCCTATCCGGTTTTAGAGGTTCCCATTCTGTCCCCATCGTCGCCTATACGAAATCTTTTCTCCGAATATGATCTGAATTACCTGAAAACGATTATACAGAATTACCGAGTAGATTAAAGGACTACGGCGAAAAGAACAAATCCAAGCCTCGGCCGAGATTGGAGCGCACGATGGCTTTCAAGGAACTCAGATTTGGCCACTTAACCAACGGGAGTGGCCGGGATTCGAGAGACTGGGACAGGGACGACCGGAGGAGGGACGATGATTACAGTGAGGAGGAAGCCACTGGGAGGAAGTCGGGGAATGATTCCGGAAAGATCAAGCTTCCAGAGGAGGGTACGGCTGAGAGGGCACAAGGGAAAAGCGGGAGCGGGAGATTGTATAATGAAGGCGGGCGAAAGGAGTTGGATTCTTACAGGAAGAAATATGAGGATTCTTTGAATAATGGTGCGCGGGCAAGGGATGATGGTAGGATGGAGCAGGCTAATCCTTTTGACGAGTATGATGATGGCTTTGATGAGCAGGATGAACATGAAGATTTGCGCGATGAGGGGGAGCACTGGGCTCATTCAAGCGACAGTGAAGTAGTTTCTGGTGGTGCTGGTGATGAAATCGGGAGGTGGAGCGATGCTGGTGGAGTTAGAAAAGGTGCATTGTCGAATTCAAATGTGAAAGCTTTTGGTGAGGTTTCAAGCAATGTTGGTCGGCAGTCTCAAATGGAGGGTGGTGATGGTGTTGGGGGTGCAGGCAGGGAATCTAGTTCTGGTTCAGGGAAGAAAGTTGAATTGAAAAGAAAGCCTAAACACCACAAGTCTTCTCGTAAGTAACTTGAATCTCTTTTTCTTTTGGCCTTCAATTTTATATTGTTGTATTTGGTGGAAATAATCCCACAAAATGATTGGGTCCATGAATTCATGTGGGTTTTGTATGTCTAGAACTTTCACCAAATGAACTTCTTACTTAATTCTTGATGGAGGATTCATGGAACCAACCACAAATAATTGGATGGGAAATACGTTTTATCAACTGTAGCTATAACCAATCGAGGTGTGGTTGTGGAACACAACTTGATTCCTAGTGCTCAGTTGAATTTATCCTGGATCCTTGACCCTTTGGGGCTCAATTATATGCTTGAGCTTGTTTGTAACTCCATGTGCTCAGTTTATTATCATTAGAGCATGTGGAGATTGAGTAGATTGGTTTTTTGAGAGTAAGTTGAGATGAGGATTTATAATGCCATTGTTGAGCAGGGGATGGTAGGGTTTTTCTATTTGCGCGGGGGGGGGGGGGGGGGGGGGGGGGGGGCGGTTGTGTGGTTGCAACAAATCAAACATTAATGTGTGTATGAAGATGATGGTGTTTCTTTAGTTATTATGGCCAACACAGTTATGAAGATAATGAAGGTTCTTTAGATTTTATATTCTACAAGCCTAAGTTCCATGTTTGAGTTAGAGATTGATTACAACAAATTGTATGAGCCACCATCTGCACCAATTGATTAAAACAGTAACATATAAATAGTTTTTACAAACCCAACCATCCAATAACAACAACAACAACAAGCCTTTTTCCCACTGCATGAGGTCGACTACATTAATTCTTTTTCTCCACTGTGTCATATCAAGAGTCAAATTCCCATTTAAATCTAATAAAAATGCCATTTTTAATACTTTATAACCAAGTCTTTTTAAGTATACCTCTACCTCTCGTAACGTAGGTCGGATCTAATTCATTTACTCTCCTAACAAAGTCATCAGACGGCTAACATTTTATGTGACCAAACCATCTAAGGTGACTCTAATTTATCTGCCACTGGAGATACTCCAATCTTTTCATGTATATACTTGTTTCACATTTTATCTCTAAGAGTAAAGCCACTCATCAACCTAAGCATCCTCATCTATGCAACACATAATTTTTTTCTTTTCTTTTAATGACTAATATTATGCATCATAAAGCATTACAAGTCTCATCATCATCTTATAAAAATTTCCCTTAATTTTAAGAGGTACTTTTCTATCACACAACATACCCAATGCATTCCTCCACTTTAACCATTCAACTTGAATTGTACTAATGATATTTCCATTTATTCATTTTTGCTTTGAACAATAAATCTGAGATATCTAAAATGTGCACTCTTTTTAATGACTTGATAACCCAATGTCACAAACCCAATAATTTAAACAACATAAATTATCCTTCGCTAACCGCTTGGTATCCATTACATAACTTATATATGCCTCACATTACAAGCAACTGAATTAATAAAAATAATATACTTTCTACTATCCTTGTTGTATATATATCTCTACAACTCTATTTCCATATGTGACACTCATTTTGTCATGGTATTAGTGCCCCTCATCTAGTTTTGCTACGATTCTTCTTCTTCTTGTTGGTAAAGAAAATGTCTCATCAATTGGGCAATCTTCCCCCTCCTTTATTCATAAGAGCTTTATTTCTTTCAAAATGGGCGGAGCTACCTTTCCCCTCCTCTCAAATTCCTAATGTAAAAATATGAAGCACATAATTAATTCCCAACTCACAAATGATAAATATCCCATGTGGAGATCCCAATTACTCAAAATAGTTGAAGAATAGGCTTTGAAGGGTTCCTAGATCACTCCACTATCTACCTTAGCAAAACAACATCATACTCTGTAGGATAATTTTCTTCCAACCCTCTTTACAACACTTGGATGCCGATAGATCAAAACTTAGTTATATTGCTCTACTCCACCATAACGCCACCTATCATTCCTTACATTATGAATCTTGATTCTTACTAAGACATTTGGCTGACAATCGAATGGCATTTGCATTCCACCAATTGGCCACAAGTTATCTAACTAAAGAACGAGCTCCATCATATATTAATGAAAAACTACAATATAACCCAGTACTTGTCAAGAATTAAGTCTCTAGTAAACAAGATTGCCACTCTGGGCTCTCACATTGACAAAAAGGATATTATTCTCTATATACTCAATAAGCTCCCTTCATTATATTAAATCTTCAAAACATCAAATTAATACCAAATCACCCCTAGAAGACTCAATGATCTCTACTCTCTCATTTGCGGAGAGGAAATCAACATTGCTAATGACCCAGCTACAGAGCAACGCATGACTAGCTCTCCCATTGCTCTATGTACCTATCATGGACAAAGATCTAGCTTCTTCTCTCTTGGGAAAGGGAGAAGCTTATATGACTAAAATAGATGCGACAACCCTCCACATCAGCAAAACAAGGGCAATAAACATCAAATAAGTCATCTCATTTGCCAAAATTTGCAGCAAATCTAGGCACTTTGGTTTCAATTCTTGGCATCGTTCGAACCTCAACTAACCGCAACCTTCTTCCCAGTTAGCTCCTAAAGCTCTCAGGACTACTCTCAAGAACTTGTTCTCCGATTGGCATCTTGATTCGATAGTTACCTCCCATCTTACTTCAAATCTAGGTCTTCTTTAGCACCCTTAACCCTATCAAGGCTTCAATCAAGTTTTGATGGGCATGGAACCTCACTTCTTACCGTCAACACTGGACATGGCTTACTTCCTACTCCTCTTGATAAGCTTCTCTTATTGAATCACGTTAACCTTCATGTTCACTCTCATAATCTATAGTATACTATACTTTTGCTATTGACAATTACCTTTTTTTTATGCTCTCGACTATCACATCAAAAGCTTGAATATAAAACAAATCATCATTTAGGGCCCCTGCCATAATGGCCTATTTCCCATACCATCCAACTGATTAACACTTGTCATCATTGACTTTTTCATCACACACTTCTCTCCAAATATCTTATGTAGTCATATTTGTGACCCCAATGCCACCGTACTTTTGATTTTCTCTATCCAACATCAATCCCTTCATATTCCTTAAGTTTTATTCTCAACAATGCTTGAAACTTAACCAGGGGTAATTGATTTCTCGTTTACAAAGTTTAATAGCTATCTTTTTACATATCTTCACAAGCTATTAGAACTAATTCACTTTGATGTATGAGGAACTTTTGTAGTTATTTTTGTGAATGGCTATAAATATTTTTTCATTTATTAATAATTCCTCTCGGTCATGCTATATATTTTTCATGTTTACCAAAATGCTACGCGTAAAGTTATTCTTATTAAAAAAAAAAGGTTAAGAAGAAATTCAATACTCCCATAAAAATTTTACGCTCTGACGGTGGTAGTGAATACATTAACCATACTCTTCAAAATTACCTTGGTATTGATGACATTGTCCACCAATATAGTTGTCCATATACTCCTGCGCAAAACAACCTTGTTGAGCCTAAACACTATTATCTTAATGAAATCACCTGCACCTTGTTGCATGAAACTCATCTGCCATGTAACCTCTGGGTTGAGGCTTTATGATAGGAAACATTTATAGATCTCAAGTATTTTCTATCAATTTTCGAAAAATAGCAAGAGTTCTCCACAAAAATCCACGCAAAACCACAAAACAATAGATTATTTGTATTGTTTGATGAAGGGAAATGGAAAATACCAAGATACAATTGATCCTCTATTCGAGAGGAGGATCTTTCTCTCTCAAATCTCAAGACGCTGCTAGAGCTCAAAGATACTAAGAGATCTCAAATTTCAGCCAAATTCAAGATGCTCTAACACTAGGAAAATAAACTATTTAATGCATACAAATCAAAAGGAAATCCCTAAACAGTCCCTACATTCAAATTTCCCTCCTAATTCCCTAAAAAATCCTTCCTAAATAGCTCAAGCACGCCGTGCGTGCATTCAGTGTGTACAGGAGCTGGAAAAGTCCGCCTCTGTTCGCGTAATCCGGTCCCGTCGGACCGGTTGAACCTGTCCAATGGACCTGGCTAACAATTCTCCCCTCTCAAAAATCTACCTTGTCCGTAAGGTGGAAAGACGACACCTTCCTCCATTTCTTCTTCATCACAAATGGTAAGAACCAGAAGAGTTCGGTCCTTACACCTGTGCCCAGGCTTATACCTCTTGTCACATCTGAAATAGACCCACTGCGCCCTTTTCCCCTGTAATCATGTTTCTGTGAGCTTCTTGAAGTTGTCCCCCAGGTTTTTCTCTGGCTGTCTTCTTTTTTGAAGTCTCCGTAAGAGTACTCGGTGTTGGCTCCTTGCTTGCCAAAAAGGTTGTGGCCATCCTGTACGAACTTCCTGAATTACTACATCATGTTTCTTTTTCCAGGTGCTTCTGATTCTCCACCAACTGAGCTAGCTGCATAGATGATCCCAAGTCTTGCAGTCTCCTCACTCAGACTACTGTGCGGATCTTTGATTTCAACCCCTTCATAAAGTTTTCCTATAGTACAGTCTCTGGAAGCCGATCCAATCGACTGGTAAGGTACTCAAATTGCTCACGGTACTCCATCGCTGTTCCCTCCTGCATTAAAGCAAAGAACTGCTTGTAGAAGTCCCCTCCCCTGCTAGTTTGGAAATGTTCCAACATGTAGTCCTTAAAACTCCCTCCAGGTCCTTATCGGTCACCTCGTATCCCTCCATTGGTATCATGCTAAAGCTTTCCCTTCCAAGCATATCCCGGCTGTTGTCAGCTTCTCGTCCTCCGTCAACCTATTGACAGTAAAGTACCTTTCCACCCTGTAGATCCACCCATGTGCATCATCTCCCTTAAACATAGACATCTTTAGTTTTCGCACCCTCAAATCTAGGGATGTCAATTTTTGACACGACCCGAAACCCGACCCGAACCCGACCCGGAAAAATCCGGGTTCGGGTCAACCCGAACCCGAATCGGGTCGGGTTCAGGTTGAACAAATCAACCCGTTTTAAAAATCGGGTCGGG